AACAATGACAATCAACAACTTTTTTACGAAGCATGTTCGCGGCAGGAGAGTATCACCCACTCACAAGATAATGCGACTCAGTTTGCCTCTAAAGATAGGAAAGTGCGATGACATTCTTTGGGCCATTTAACAAGATCGTAAGATAAAATTAAACCACAAATCGCACTTTCGTTTCATTTTCTCTCGATAGTATCGCTGCGTAATTGAATTTGGGTCCTGATTCTTAAACACCACAGGAGTTTCAACTGACGTGAATACTTTTTCTGATACTTCTCCACCACGTCGTGTTCATGTGGATTATCTTACCCAAACAAACCAAACGTCGGAAACTATAGATTATAAAATCTGACTACTATGCCTTCGATTCTTAAGTTATAAGGCCAATCTAGTGATTGAAACTGACTACCATGCCTTCGAGTCTAAAGTTAAAAGACTAATCTAAAAATTGAATCAGTATTCGACTATGGTTTCCAGGATGCATCAGCAATAGAGAGGATTTACTGTTTGATAAAGTCCCCTCGACCTAATCGAGGAACAATAGTAAATCTTCTGTCGGATCAAATCTTACATCAAATATTTTACAAATCTTTGATTAGTTTACAAGAAAGTTACTCTCACTTAGCTTAAGAAATCTAAAGAGTTCTGAATATCTGAAGTTTTTCACATGTTATTAAAGCAATTTGCTTAAAATACTGAACTTCTTTTTTTCGTAATAAGGCAGCACGGACAACTTTTCCACAGAGAACTTCTTCGTTTCTTCTTGACTTTTTGGATGGTCATGATAGTGCTCAGCGAGTGTGTGTTCTTGGGAAATTCTCCTCTGTTCGTCATTAAAAATATTAATTTCCTGAAGCTCTGTATCGTCAGCTGTCATAATTCCAAACCATGGTGAATTCTTAAAAAGTAAGAGAGAAAGTCGGCATTTAAAACTCAGAAAGATGACCATATGGAAGCTAAGCAAAATGGTTTTTCTTTTGATGGAGCAGCGACACGACTGATTAATAAATTCCGCCACAAGGAAATGAGTGAAGCGTTGAGAAATTTACATTAGTCAGGTAACCTTTAAACAGCAACATGCCAAATAGGAAGGAAAGACTGGATAGATAAATTCAACAGGCTAAAATGAAGAAGCAATCAAGCCGGAGTGCTGGTGAGCATGCGTGTTTGTTCAACCCCCGACTCAGGTACCGCACAGAAGGAGGAGCTGGGGACCTTGCCCCCCCTCCCCCCCAATTTGTTTTGAAAAAAAAAGGTGTCCTGCTTAGCATCCCCCCATCCCCCTGCCTTGTTGGCTGTAGCTTATGCGTTCGTCTTTAGCCTCCCACTAAAAATTCAAGTTTGTGGCCCGGACCCTGAGTCTATCGTACATTTGAATAGGATTTACTTGGAAATGACCAGTTTTGTAACTTTCATATTACAGGTATCATTCGTCCATAGAAAACGGACTAAAGCTTAAAATAGAATAAAGATATCCTTGCAGTAAACTAAACTTGATCCGAGGGAAATTAATCCGCAGAATTCTTTCACTGGAAGTTTCTAGAGCCGCCTGTGGCCTAATTATCCCTCGCAATTGAGTTATCAGTTACTTCGCCGCTCAAAATCAATACATTAACCCGCAAACAAGTGATAAGAACAGACAGTGGGTTTACTCTCGATATAATACTAAAATCTCGTAGTTTTTATACCTGGAAATGTGTGGTTCCAAGAACAGTGTATTATTGCACAGATTTTGGAAGTTTCTTGATGGACGCTTCACAAGACTCTTGTAAGCTCTTAGTAAGAATGTGAACTTTCTCAGAAGAAGAAAAAAACGAGCTGCGTAACTTTTCAAGTTAACACTTACGTTCCCACTTTTTTCCTCATTCTCCACAGGAATCGGTTTTGAGCAACAAGCACTTGTATTAAGGCGTTTATCCATGAACAGCCTAGTACGCCTACGATGTCGCTGCTTTACCGCAAAGATGACCACAAACACTAAAATAGCGATCAACGCTGGTGTTTCCAAAGCGTCTTTGAGGTTGATCTCAAAGTTGAAAACGAAAGAAAACATTTTGGTTTAAATTGTAACACTTTTCTTGTATAAATGGACACTAATCTTGAACTGTTATGTTTGATTCACGCGTTCTTGTTTCAGGCCGGCCTAGATTGTCCCTTTGTCACGAATTATCACTCTGACAAAGGACAACTGCTTATCTGACCGTGTCGTTTATTTTCTCCCAAAATACGACAATGCGATTGGCTGATTTGAAGACACCTGAAAGATAGTTGTTTGCCAAGCGGGACAAATAATTAAGTATTAGTCGTGGAGTGCATTGTGAAAAAAACCACCTTTCTACAGGCTGGAAACGTTTTACATTTGTTAGAAAATGTGTTTATGCCAGTGTTTGGTGAAAAAAAGTCACGGTACTGGCTTAGATCTCGTTAGATTCCCTTAGTTCACGCTTAATTTTCCAGCATTATCATTAGAACTGTTTCCTACATCCCACGCATTTCACCAGCTAAGTTTAGAGCTGTCAAGCGTGATATTTTTAGCACAATATTACCGAATTTAGACCAAAATTTGACAGTTCTTGGTCAGCACTTTTTATTTTAGGCCCAATTGTTTCAGTTTAGGCGCCGATTGGTTAAAATTTGGGGAAATATGTCTTTAAAATGGCAGTTTCAGATTCGAATGACTAAGAACGAGTTATTTTGACAAGACTTAAGAAAATTCACTTCAGGCGCAACAAGAATATCGGACAAAATGAACAGAGTATGCATTCAATTCACAGAGACGCATTGAACAATGTATTCCAAAGGTAGAGAGAAAGCCCGGTCGTGAAAGAGAATCAACCTGAACGTGATGGGAAAAAACAATGAGATAAATGGATTCGATTTTATAAGAACCACGCAATCGTTATTTAAATTCAAATGAAGTAAACAAGCAAATGAAACATGACACAGCCATGATGAGGACGCGTGGTCGATGCCTATTCAAGCAAATCCGATTTACTCTCATTTCCTATTTCATTTAAAATTAAATACGCAACCATAAAATGTAGGCATATCGAGGCTTTAGGGTTTAATAAAGTGTGGTATTTGGTAAGTTGCTTCGGCGCGTTCGCTTGCAAGCATTTTAATAGGGTAGAGTTTCATCACAGAATGGAAAGTTAGTAAAAGTGATGTTGTGATAGTCAAAAAGCAATTTTACGTGAACGGCGAATGAACAGAAGTAGACAGATTATTTATAACTCGAATTACAATAGCGCAAACAATGATTAAAAAATAAAACCCAGGGATCTCACGGGAATCGAGACCGTAAATGTTACAGTTTTGTAAATCTATCGAACACTACTTTGGCTGTTTGACCTGTGACAGTTCAAAATGTTGTATTCCATAGCCTCCAAATTTTTACATTTCAGGTTTAAATATTGTTTCCACTTCAATATGCTTTGCCGTTAATCATTCGCACCTCAAAGAAAAATAAGTATAACCCTCCTCCCTAAACATAGAAATCATTCACAACACTTAACAAACCGCGGAAGAAAGTAAAACCCAATATTATTAATTATCAAAACATTTTGGAATTTCTCAGATTGTCAGATCTATTTTTTAAATCAATGTTGTGCGTCTAGCAAAACTTCATTTGGCACAGCGGTAAAATAAATTACCAATTCAAATATCACATTGTCATGGAATTACGTGTTCAAAGCAGACAAGAGGGTCTAACACAAATTAAACACCCTTTGCTTATGTAATAAACGCTTAGTAGCTATAGCCGTTTGGTTTTTTATTCGTCTGATACACAAAGTTTAGATCAATCATTTTTAAAAGAGCGCTGGTTTTTATCGAAAAAAATGTACTGTGTGTTTGTTAAAGAAGGGAATTAGTCCGTGGTACTTGACCTTCATTAGGAAACTGTGAGTAGCGTGGGTAGAGAGCATGTAGTGAACCCTTAAAGGATTCTTCAGAAGTCCACTTAGTCGTCTATTTTGAGAGGAGTACCAAAGGGATGTATAAATTCAGCAATTGAGTTTATTTGGTGCAGATCAATGATGACCATAATACGATGTACACTTTCAAATTATCACTAAATTGCTTTCATTTAGTAATAAATGTTTCTGAGAAACAAAACCTCAGGTAAAAAACTTAACACTGATAAGCACAAAACAAGTACTTGCCAGTACTCTGAAAGTGTATGCAGCACCTTTGTTGATTGCAACTGAGATAATTTTAAAAGACTGCATGTGGCTACTGATATAACATAATTTTTGTAGCGTTGAAGAGGATTAGAAAAACACTTTCAGGAGCTTAGTGACCAAAGGTTGAGTGAATAAGGAGGAAGCAATCGGTTTATGCTGGATTACCCGATGAAAATCCTCACAATGTGACATTTTCACAGATAGACTATTTTTAGCAAGGTTTTTTTCCCTTCCGCCTTGTTCATATTAGTATCAAGCGAGGAACTGGTTGGGAAATGTTTAAACATACGGCCCTGCTGCAAAAAGATAAAATAAATTCTGTTTGCGATAATTATCATTCGCCTTTCCTTGAGGTCATTCTGACTATGAGAATTTTATTTATTTATTTCACCCCATTTCTCTCCCCCTCCCTCTTGTAACCCCCCTTCCCTCCCCTCCAACTTATCTTTAGTACTACGACTTTAATAATTCTGGTGCTTTCGAAGACAAGTGTTTGATACGGCTGCTTGTCTCGCAGTCTATTTTTTTTTGCTTTCGTCAGCATATTTACTTACCTCGGCCTACTTATAAACAAATCGCGTAACGGTGTGTTCCATCATTTTGTTCATAAGCTGTATTAACCAATCACAGAACAAAATGTAGCTTAACGCAAACGGGTTTCCTGCGCTTGGTTTGACCATGTGCATAATCACATATTTAAGGTCTTGGATTTAAAACCCACTTCACTACGTAAAATATATAATACTGTCAAGATTACACACATAAACACAATAAGACTGTTTATAAAACCAATACTCGGAAAACAGTCGAGTTGTTTGTGTTGTTTGTGTGTGGTAAGAATTTCAGGGATCCTTATCAGCCAGGATTCTCATACGTTGTGTTCCAGGTTTGTTCTAAAAGAAAAAAGAAAGTTCTAAAATAAATATTTTTGTTCTTCCTACAGATTAACTTAATAACTTAACTTGTATAACTTAATGAAATTCAAGCAATTAATTTAGAAACTCGGTGTACTCGTCGGGGGGGAGGTTATTAAGAAGTAAAATGCCACTCAGTATCTCGCTTCTAATAATTTAGAGTTTTTTTCTTAACAGGGAAGATTCTACTGTATTTAGTTTACTTACCAAATGAAAACTCAGAGGTGTTACGAGGATGTGCGTTCTTGTATTTCTCTAAGAGCTCATGCTTTAAGAGTCCATTGAGATCCGGGTTTTCCTGCATGATATTCGTTATTTGATAACTTCAAAATATTTCTTTTACGTTCGCTGAATTCATCTCATAGATATCACTAAAAAACTGTTACACTTATTACTCTTGATCAGGGAAATTTTGTTTTCGGTTCAAGTTCTTGTAATGTTTTCTAAAGTTGTCCATATCATCATTAAATATGCTGTAAAAAGATAAGCAGGACGTTACTCATCCGCTTGTAGGTGGAAATTGATTTATCGACCCGTGTTGCTGATGTTGCGAGTTATTCACTTTACTTACTCGTGAGCGTTAATATCAACAAAAAGATAGAATTCGCACCCAAGCAAAGCCATGTAATAATCCCTCTGTATCACAAAACGTTTCATCATCTTTACTTATAATCATCTAAAATAAATGTATGTCATTCCCGTAAAGAAAACCAAGTATTTTTCATCAAGACTACCTCGCATGCAGACCCAAATGTCTCTCGCCTGGGCGCCCCTTTTAAGGATGTGGACGAGGAAATAGACTTACAAAACAAGTTTACTTTGATTTAAATGTATTTCACAAACCTTATCCTGATCTCTATCATTTTCTTTCATATATTTGGCACTTCCCGAAGCATGTGGGGGTTTCAGCGCCCTCTGAGCCTGATTCAACGCCTTCACATCGATTCCCACCAAGGGCTTACGATTAACAGGCTCCAGGACTTGACGAGGCGGAAGCTCCATCTGAGAATTCACCGGAACCGAGGGTCGGGGTGCGGCAGATGACAGGCTCACCTTTTTACCAGTGAGCAGCTGTTTGTAGAAAGTCTAAACAACGTAATAAAGTTCTCTGTGAGTGTAACTCGAAAAAGAAAAAAGTTTTGTCGTTGGCAAAAAGGGAAAGGAGATTATAATATGATATGATGTGGTTTCATTTACTCTGGAAACGAGCACAAATAGTGAAAGAGCAGAGATCAATAAGGTGATTGAAATCCTCACATCTCCAGCCTAAAACAATTAGCGTCCTGTAAAGGGATAGAAAATAATGCCTTCGATTTTCTTCGTCGAAGTGTTCGATTCTTTTAGTATCTTTGCTAGTTCGTGTCTTGAATTACATGTTGACTTAATCTTACCTTACTAAGAGCCCGCACCGAGCGGGGAGAGTTGACATCAGCCTTTGCGAACTCCATCAGGACGTGGAACATTTTGTCTTCGTCCTCAATTTCCACCGGGGGATCTAATGGTAAAGACAGCGTGCCTCATTCAAATGATTTTGAACTGAGCTGCTTAGCAATAACCCTATGTGCCTTTTGGCGCCAAGCGCCAACAACTCAGCTTGACCGTGTACGAATACCTCGATAAAAGGCAGGCTGTATGCACTTCTTTGAGCAATGACCTTTTTTTTTTGCTTGCGTTCTGTAACTAACAATTTGGATACGTCTATTTTCTACGAACGATTGACTGAATTTTGCTGATGTATTCTCTTGACAAACAATTTACCTTACAGCAACGCTGACGCACTCACCATGAGATGGAGGATTTATGTAAGGGTGAGCCAACAACTGAGGGATGGTATAGCGCTCCTTGGGATTCCGGAGAAGACAGCCCTAAAAATACAAGGAAAGGCAAGCAGTCATACAGGAGACAGCTGAGCAGGTGTTTTTTGTTTTTTTTTTCCATTCTTAAGCCCCCGCCTCGCGCGTCACTCATTCTAGCTTCAGCTCGTTGGGAAAAGTGGTCTTTCTTTTGACATCTATAGACGAGGGGAATTATTTTTCATATCATAACAAATGAGTCAACAAACCTTCATGACATCAAGCAAGTTCTTGTCTTTGATCTCCGGAAACTCGATGACGTGTGAAGGATCCATGATACATTGCAACTTGATGATATGATTAGTTATGTGTTGGAAAGGAGTCCTACCATACACCATCATGTGGAGGATACAGCCTAAAGACCAAACATCGCTTGGTCGGCCGATCTAGGGAGGGACGTGAATTCAGGTCATTATAAAAAGGTTATGACAACGTCGAAGGTTGAAGCCGTGTACTGGATATCAGATCACGACAAGAGCTAAAGCCCTCAGTAACTAACAGTACATAATAAAAGGTAAGAGGTCCAGCTTGGATACGAGGCTTGAGAGGTCACCTATGACGTTTACAGCAAGCGGTTACCTGCAAAATTTGAACCTCTTACCGTCTGCTTTCAACTACATGCATTTGTGTGCCAAAGCGAAGGTATTTGCATCAACCGTGAATAGACATTTTAACACTTGTCCACAGCTGATTTGAGAATTAAAGCAAAAGTGAGTGATTTCTAATTTTGTTTCTGCCGTTTGCCACGATAAACATCTTTGCCGACTCCCATAGCCACCCAAGCTTATCCGGGTTGGTTTTACAAGGGACTGGGACTAATTACTAATTCCTCACGAATTGGGTGCTAGTCTGTTGCAGATCACCTTTCCCCCTGGCATTTTGACTGGTCTCCCTGACAGTTTTCCAGCACTCATGCTCTTGGCCCCAGTTTTTCAAAGGGTAGATAAGGATATTCACTGGATAAATCTCTAGTCAGTGGATTGCACTGTATGTTTTGTTAATACTTATCCACTGGATGGCGATTTATCCGTGGGATGGCGTTATTCGCCCTTTGAACAACCGGGCCCTGGGTTAAGAAAAGAGGTGTATAAATACAATCTCTTGCCAAAGAACACGACAAAATGACTCTAGCGGCTAGCCATTTGACTACGGCGTCTCCCACCAGTAACATATACGTACACGCTGCGCGCAAAAGATGCAAATTGCAGGTGCGTCATGGCTGTAACAGGGGTCGGGGCGAGGGGACTGATATCCAGCAATCTTTACCAAACTAAGTTTGGCCAATAAAGAATTCATCATTTGCGTGAACGAAGAAGCAGGTAACATCGGTGTACCTTTTTCTTTCGAATTCCCTTTAAGTCACCCGCAGGCGTACCAACAATTTATATCCTTACCTTCATTCTGGGTTTTGCATTTCCCGCACTGTCAAACCGAGGCGCGTGAGAGATATCTTGAAAAGCTTCTGGAGACATAAAGTTTAATGTCCCAACCTGTGTTTCAAGTTCAACACTTGTTTTATCTCCCTGAAAGAAACAAGTGAAGGCTAGGTTGGATATGAAAAGCACGTAGACTCAGGCTTTTTTGACTCAGGCTTTTTTGACTCGGGCATAAAACTAGGACGTCTGTCAAGAAGTCTACTTTTCGATTTCCAACAAAAAAAAAACCCCGGGAAATTGTGAGTTATCTGGTCTTTTCCATTTCCTAATTTCAGAAATTTAATAGCGAGTTCTCAACCCGGGCACGCAGAAGAGCTAGGAGCTGAGAGCTTTCATTAAACTACCACCTTTAAAAACTGACGCTTCAGGAACAGTATTATGAGTCTTTCTGAAAAGGACTGAGCTAAAACTCCATGATTTTCCACGAGCTTTTCACGGACCTTTCTGTATTTTTTACGACCTAAAAATTAGAAGTTGGTACTAAAGTAATGTGAAAACGATCATGACACGAGGAAGCATTTCTCTTTGTTGTTCTCAAAAATGTAATATTAAGTGATTTTTCATGACTTGACAGGCTTATAAAATGATGTGGTAGACTTCATTGACTTTTTCTTTGCCATGACCCTGAGAACATAACGGAAGTTTTTAGAGAGCAGGCTTTCAAATAATCAGAGACAGGACGTGGCCGTTCAACTTACTTGAAGAGAATTGGCAATCCCGAAATCGATAAGTTTTAGGCGTCCTTCGACCAACAAGAAGTTGGCAGGCTTTAGGTCTCTGTGAATGATGCGTGCCTCGTGAATCACGTGAACAGCTTCCAGCATCTGTCGCCAAAATACCTGAAGCTCACTCTCGGTAATCTTTGTGCGATTCTTTCTCAAGAAGCCCGCCAAGTCAATACTTCCGCATTCCATCACCAAAATTAGGGAACTCCTTTCTTGGCTCAGTTCCCTTAAAGAATAAATAAAGAAAAGTAATCATTGGATACTCTGTTCTCCTAAGATTGAGTATTTTTTTGATAATCTGCATTTTGTGACTAACGCCCTTCCCTTGAGAAGCGCACAGTAAGAGTAGGGACTGATGCAGTTGTTTGGGACTAAATGACCCTAAGCGTAAAAAGAGTACATGTATTAGCAGAAGAATATCATACTCACCAGTCAAATAATTTAATTATGTTATCATTGCCCTGCAATCTTTCCAACAATTGCACCTCGTTGATATAGCTGCGAACAATGAAATCATCGGCCTCTTCTAAATTCACGTACTTTATAGCACATATTCTTTTCCCGTCGAAGGCTTGGAAGACCTGGAAGCGTATCAATGAAAAAATGACAGATTAAAAAAGTTAAATAGTTTGAACTCAGGAGTAACAGTTGATCGAGTAATGCGATTGCCCAGATGAAAGTAAACTTGAACTTGGTGGTAGTAACTGAAGATTCAAAAACCTGAGCAGAAGTCATCATTAAGGAATTCGAAAGGTTGTCATTCGTAATTCCTAGCCTTGACTTAAAAAAAATTGTGGCAGTTGTCCACATTCTTACACTCCTACCGGTCTAAAATGCTAACATTATACACAAAAAAATCGATGATCCATTTTAAGAACAGTGGAAAAAAGTGAATTACAAGCTTGATCCAAGTTGGAAATGAAGGCGAAAATCGGTCTCAAGGCGGCGCTTAAAGCTGCAATAAACATGTCGGAGAAAAAAAATTATTACAAAAACCAGAAAACTTACCTTACTGGAGCCGCCTTTACCAATAGTTCCTAGTCTCTGGTACACTTTGCCTTTCACCATGATTGTTTCCTGCGAAGACTGGACAGGGACGGCTGCTGGCCTTGAGAACTGCATTTCTTGGGGGTAGCCTGAGGCATGACTAGCACCTAAGAGCTGACCAGGCATCGAGTGTAATGGGCCACTGTGATTAACTCGTGCAGTACTGTGTTGCGACAGAGAGCCACTTGTTACAGTGGATTGTGCAACTGAATTAGTACTTTGGTGACGAATGGTGACTGAGCTATTAATACCTTGGTTTGACTCAGATGACAAACCTTGCAGCGTTGGTATTTGATGAAGCATGGGCTGGTGACCTGAGTTGGACACATCTCCTTGCCGCTGATTGCTGCTGTTATTCAGCATCGCTGGCTGAGGGTTTGTAGTAAATGAATGAGATCCTGCTGGCTGCTTGTTATACGGTAGGTTTTCTAGTGCTTGCGGCGCAAAAATCCCCTGTGTTTCCACTGTGTTATTCCTGAAACAATCTTCAGATTGTTCACCCGATGTTTCTTTCTGAAATCCACAAGCAGATGGAAGGTTCTGTTCCCCACCCGTGTCTTTCTGTGAACTTGAGGACGCAGAATGAACACTGCTTCTCGCCAGATGAAATCCATGTATCTGGTTACTGGGAGCTGCCTCAAGTTCACAATTCTGTTGAGGCACCTCCACAGTACAGTCCAGTTCAGTTATACCGTTCAACTCATCACCAGGTTCACTCAATGCTGGTAGGGGTCTCTTCACTCTCATTGGAAGACCAAAGTTTATTCCTAAACCTCCTCCACCGCGTCTTGCCTTAGGGCGGCGAACTGATAGATTCATACATCCCGCAAGACTGTCAGTACCTAGAATGCAAGTACATGAGTGAGATTTCCCCAACAAATTTTCTATTGGTAAGCTTTCCTTTGTACAATAAATTAAAGATACAAGTATTTGAAAAATTTGCAAAGGAGGGAAAGGTTGCGGAATGGTTTAAATGACTTGACAAGGAGACATGTCGAGAGAAGCATAAAGGATTTAAGGCAAAATCTACTCCAAAAACTGAAGACCTATAGATGCTGCTTACACAGGAAATCCGAGGAAATGCAAGACATTTTTATCTGTTAATCACATGCATCTTGAAACAAGATATAAATGTAACTGATAAAATTAATACATAAGTAAATATATCAGTTTTTGTCTCACAATCATTAACTATTCATTGTGAATTCTATCAATCCCAAGATCTTGGGGTCAATTCTCCACATGGTCTTCTGTACATTTCTAATAATTGTAGTCCTGAGAATTTGGTTTTGCCTCAAATATTATGCTCTACTTGATATTTTTCTTTCTTTTCAACACCTCCTTGAGTGAAAATGTATTGATCTTGCTGGAAGAAATTCCTTTTTAGGTCAATTGTGAGAGTGAAAAAGTTAAGAAGGATTAGCTGCATGCAGTGTTGTATATCTTGTTGATTGACCTGATTTGAAGTCAGGAGTAGATTTCACAGACGGTTTCTGGGTGGACATGCTCCCATGCTGCCTGTAGGTGGATGACTGAAAAGGGATGCTGTCGGCCTCATCGCTGCTACTGCTGCTGTTACTTTTTCTGAAACTGAGAGGTTTCTTGCCACAACTCTCCAGAACACTTGGTAATTTGAATGAAATCACAGCACTGGTATTGTCAGAAACTTTTGCTGTGCCAGCATCTGTGAGCTGTGTGGAACTGCATGTTGAACTTTCATCTCCTTATAAGTTTGAGAAGAAGACAAAAAGATTAGTTTGACTACCAAACCAAACAAGATCAACTTTAGCCATATAAACACCTGGTCAATAAAACTACTCCAATATGACATGCCCAGCTCTTGTAACATTCATAACATTGAAAGTTCCTGCGGTTGCTGATCCCAATAGTTATTTCTTGTTTGCTGTATTAAATGGTGTTTGAGATGTGAATAATTGCAAAATTAAGAAAAAAAAAATGGATGAGTAAACTAACAAGCCAGCAGCCAGTACATTTCAAGAGCTATTCCAAATGCTGGTGGCCTATTTTCAGCATGGAAGAATGACATTGTGTTACTGGTACCTGTTTTTTAGAAACCAGTTACTCAAAATCTTTTTTTTAAACCATGAACCAGGAATCAAGAATCAGGAATCAGGTTTCTAAGCCAAGACCTACTGTGCTATGATTCCTGAAATTTAGCTTTTAAAATATGGTTTAAACCCTTACTGTTACTTGGACCTGAGCATATTGAACAAACTTGTTTAATCTGACAACCCAACATTAGGAACAAACTTTCATGGCCTATTGGTAATTGTCAGTAGTAAATTTTTACATCAAGGCAACTAGTAGCATCAGAATCACTAAGAAAAATTGGCAGTTTGAAGGGAACTTATCATTTATCTACACTGACAATTGAGAAAACAGAGGAGCATTGCAATCTACTAAATGAAGGTTTTGACACAAAATTTTATACTTCATATTCTCTCTAAACCTGATATAAAATTAAACATATTTCACACTACAGTGATCATTAGTAATATCAATATTAGGATAGAGTGATTTATTAAAACTCTGCAAACATTAAGAACCCATTCATTCCCAAAGTCTAAATTCAATACTTTATGCTGTCTATGTACACTTGTTTCATATAAATGCCTTCAATAACACTCTTCTCTAAAAGCTACAACATAGCAATCAAACTTTACCTGTACTCAAAGGTGACATATCTACTGATGATTCACTACTCTTCTGGTTGGCTCTGTAATGTGTAAAACCTGTCAGTTCCTCAGACTCCTCAAGCAGCACCTTCCTCCCTGCTACAAAGTTATCATAAGCTTTTAAAAGCAACTCCTTAGGTTCTGCACCAGAATCTTTTCCTTTCCGTAGCAGGCTTCTGCATTTGCTTCTGTTTCCTACAAAAATTGCACAAATCATCAGGATCAGGTCTGTCCTCTAAGAAGAATCACAGAGTTGCAGAAGGTTGTTGTTACAGATAGCCATTGTCAGCAGCTCTTTGAGGCTTTCATGAAGCAAAGTTTTTCAAGTTGCATAGAGAAAAACAAGTTAGACACCTCTGTCACCCAGGCTCAGCTAGAACACAATGGGGATTACAGTGATTGCTATGTGTGAGTATTTCTGACTCCTTTGGGAGTTTCCTGTGTTTTCAAAGGGAAAGGGGGTGCACCATGGTGCACAGTGTGCTCTTCATATATTCTTGAGATTGAAAAAGATAACTTTGAAATTACATATGTAGTTGGATTCAAACCTGTTAAAAGCTCAAACTGTGCCCATGCAACAAAAACAATAGCAAAGTGTTTTGCATTGTTTCGTGCCAACTGGAACGAGCTTCGAGCATCATCTTCTGATATTTTCCTGTAAGTAACATAAGAACATAACTACAGTCACAACTCTAAAAATGTGTCTGCTTTAACCTTCTGTAACCCTTTCCAATCTGACATCAATATACATGTTCTCTATACTGTTCCCTGTGCATTCTTTTGGTTCTAAGATGGAGAATTTGTAAAACCATTAAGAGCTTCATTAGTTGCTGATCATTTCCTGTATTCTCATGACTTAAAACTTTATTTCAGGGGTGATATCCTGAGGAGAATTTAGAACCATGTCACTCTTAGGGATTAATGGGTAAAACAGCTCATAACACATGTTTTTAAGATACCAGCATTTTCTTAGGGAAGTGATGCAATGTAGTTGAATTCCTAGAAAAAAACAATTGACTGTTCTTGAGGTGGTATTAGCAGCCAATTTTTTTCCTTGAAATTGGGAAATGTTCAGCTGGTTCTTTGAAGAAATAATCATGCGATCTCTTTCCAACACTTACATTTGCAGTTTTGCAAAATTCACAAGAATACGAGCATAGGAGATGTTTTTCTTATTTTCTTCTGCTGGGATTTGACTAACAGCTCTTTCGTAGAGGTACAACAAGTGCCTACAGTTCTCATCTGTAAGATCTGCTGCCAGTCTTGATTGTCTTGGAGCCAAAAACTCTAGCCAGTCCTCAGGTCTGTTACCATTACTTTTTATTTTCTGAATAGCTGTGGTCTCAGCATCCATCATTGTAAATAGCTCTTGATTTCAGTGATGAACAGGTTAACAACAGACTGCAGCCACATCAAGACAGTTGCTAACAACAAGCTGACAAAGTAAAATAATTGATGTTACTCATCATACAGCCATATAGTATAGGTAGTTCAATGTAAAATTTGTCATTAATTATTATTAATTATATCAATTCATGGCTAGGCTATGTGAGAGCAATTCATTGTGTTAAAAAAAGGTACAGGGTGCAATTTTCAAGCGATACTGCTAATTTCAAACCATTTGATCTGTTCCTTAAATTTGGAAGAAATACTATCAAAAACTCTTAAGAAGTACATACAATGTGGGAAAAAGGTGTGAGATAAAGTGACCTATTTGACTAAGTGTGCTGAACTGTGGCTGAGCAGATCTGGGATTAAGTCCTGCCTGGGTCTTTCTGTTTGTCTTCTTAGATAAAAACACTCTCTTGGTGCCTCTCTCCACCAAGGAGTACAAATGCATACCTGCACTCTGTTGGGGAAACTTGAAAAAACAATGGGAGATAACTCTGCACTGGACTGGCACACTGCTCGGCAAGAAGCGGTGATACTTTGAGTTGCTTCATGCTACTTAAAAATTGCTATAGGTTCCTCCTGGATGAGCCTTCTAGCAATTTGTAAACCTTTCAAGTTTTCAAATTGCACAGAATGTAAATAATTTGATCGTAGAATTCAAAAGAATTAAGGTTTCATTCTCTCCGTCTAGGTAGTAAGCTCACATGAATTCAGAAACATACCTGCATACATCATGCAGTTTCTCCTGGTGTACATGCACGATGTTAGCGTTTATTAATGTCCATTCGAGGAAAAGTTAGGAGGAAACCTGCCTTCCTTTTCGTTTAATAATAGAAGTATCAACGATTGTTCGAGTTGGTCATTTGTGTATGCTGGAAATATTTCACGGAGTTCTTATCCTAACGGTGAGTCAACAAACCGATACAATATCTTGCTCTTCCATAATTGTCAACAATTATTCGTCAACTTAACTTAATTCCTTCAATCTTTTTCGTTATTATTTGTATAAAATTTAAAACTGGACATATTTAGATATAAAAAAGCCTCTTTGATGAAATTTTTACCCATAAAACCGTATTTATTTTGAGAAACTTACCACTACCATGCAGACACAACCGAACCTTCACCATGTTAGTTGATGTTATTTGGGTGATTCACGTGAAGCCGTCTTCGAAAAATTCTGTCATTTGATTGGTTTGCTTAATAAAAACTCGCTAGCGATTGGTCACTGTGAATTTGAAAGCCAAGGCGCGAGTACAGCGCAGAATTGATTGTCAGCGGTCTTGATATGTAATTAAAAACACGGCGGACGAAATGAGGTTGGAAGTGGCTTAATTGTAGTTCAAATATGCTTCATATCTGATGGGATTTCTGTGTCACAACGTCTTTTGTGTAACATGGTAACATCGAATGAATTTAGAACTAGAACTGTGGGATTGCATTTTGCCTTAAAGAGAAGGGATCTCAATGTCTCGCAGCTTAGTCGAGAAGGTCATAAGGTTGTGCGAGAGTCGTGGATTTTCAGTGGAGTCGCGCATTGAAAGTGCGCCCACTAGTCATTACAGATACCAGTTTGGACCACTTGGTACGGAGCTGAGGCGTAACTTGAGAAATGCTTGGTGGTATGATGTAGTTAGATCAAAGGGAAATGTTTATGGTTTTGAATCAGCGTGTGAACTAGGAACTGGTGGGTTAGGGGACAAAACTCATGTTACTAATAAGGAAGAATCAACAGCTACGACTGAAGGAGAAAAGCCAAGGGGAGATGATTTTGATCCATTAAATAACAATTTTCTTCAATATATGACTCATTTACTTGGAATCATTCCTGGAATTGAAGTACCTTTTGGCACGGCGTGGAACAGAAAATACTTTGAAAGTCCAAATAATGATCATTATATTTTCAGGTATTTGAGTCTTAAATACTTAGAATGACTATGCTGTTTTGAGAGTCTGATTGATCTATAGTTAGATTTATCAAACTTTAAACCAAGTTTCTCTTTAAATTTGCCAAAATGCAGCTGAAACCAGCCACATGAATCTGATACACGAAGACAGTAACTAACTGACTAACCTGTCAGTTTCAATGGTTTAGAGTTACAACATTTGACAGAAAAACGACATTTTATCCAAATCCAGTAATTGGCTAGTTTGAAAGTGATGAGCAGGTTCAAATTTGTGCCCTGAGAGTTTAATTTTTGACAATATTGGGTATATTGTTCAAATAATTATAAGCTAATTTTTTGGTTTCTTCGTGGTGTATGCTTAAACAATTATTCACCTCAGTGTTGGTGAAAGTGGTGAATATTTACCTCCACTTTGGTGTTTCATTGTTAATTAAAATGGCTGTTATATTTACACTGATGTTTAGCCCCCGAAAGATCCAGCATTTTGTTTTTTTTTTTCAGCACTTGTCATTACAAAGTTTGCTAATTAATAAATTTATGTAAATGTGTATATTTGTATACTCTTAACAAAAGATTTTCACCATAGATCACTAAACAGAAATTGTCTCTTTATTTACAGTTCTGATTTTAAAAATTTCTGTGATGTATTGATCTTTGAGAACAAAAAATAAAAACAGTTCACATGTCTTGTAAAGTGTACTAGTAGCCCTTGTTGTTATGAGAATTTGGCTTACTGTGGCTCCCTACAGGGGAGTCCATCTATCCCTGATTTATTAAATACTTAACTATTGAGTACCAAGGCAATAGGAGTAGGAGAGATGAGGAATGAGTTATGGTTGTTTGAATATTCTTGAGAAAAGAGATCATTAATACTATTAATATTATTCTTTATCAATACAGGTAATACCTCTCTCCTTCTAAATGAAAGAACAGAATATCATTTTTCTTGGCACAGAATTACCTCTCTACACCCATAATGGAACAATTTGTAATGGTATTTCTTTCTATTGGTCTTTGTGCAGGTCTTTTGAGAGGGAGATCATGTCCCTTGAATTCTTTTGTGCTGAAAATAGAGTAAAAGATTGGACAAATCATTGGAAAAGACAGAGACTTGTGTGGTGGAGAAAATTTGCAAACATTCGGTCTAATTACAGTCTTAATGAAGAACAGATAGAACTAGAATCTGGCCCACACAGTAAAACCTTTATAAAGGTATCCAATCATGCTCATTTGAGGTCACATTACTCTTTAAAACTGTGATGTTCACATTTTGCACTAATGTCTTGGACTAACAGTTCTGTTTGTGACAGAAACTTATGTGATGTTTTCTTGCCATGTTCCAATGTCGGAAAAAGGGTGTGATAAAGATAATGATTTTGATGAAAATTTATATTTTACTTTTGTTGTAATAATTGCATGTAACATGGTCAAGAAAAGCGAAAAGTTATTGATAAGGATGTCTGTCAAGTAGAATCAAAATATACACAGGAAATGAAATGGTCATGAGTGCATAAAATGATTTAAGGGACAGTCAGGTGATGTTTTAAAGTTTTTACTGTTGCATGAGCTACAAGCAAGTGAAATTTGGAAAATTTAAGAAGTTTTTGGGAGGCTGTATGTTACAAAGTGCACAAGCAGCTTAACAACCTACCTATCTTACACTGCCTTGGACATCCTGTAAGGCCAAATTAATCAGAACATTTGCAGATTATAGGGCTTTTTAAAGGTTGAATGGTTGAAGTGCAAATGGTTGTGTATTTTTATTATTTCACGAGTGTCACTTACTACTCTCTTTTCTTCCAGTATATGTTTCCATGGGGCCAAGAATCAGTTGACTCTATTACTGTAAGATCAGACCTACACAAGTGCATAGGAACAGATGAGTTCAGAGGACTACCATTCAACAAGAAATCAATACCTCATGTAATACAGGTCAAAACTGATCTTAATAGAGGTAAATTTTTGTTTGTAACAGTCCTTGGTTTGCAATACTTCTGTTACCCTTTTCTTGTTTTTGGCTTCTGTTAGTCTCTCTTGAGTTCTTTTGCATTCCCACCCTTCCCCCAAAAAAGAAAAAAAAAATATATATATATATATATGTTATTATATAATAATAATGATGATGATGTGAGTAGACCAAGGGCTGTCCCTCCACCACAATTGCCTTTGTGGATCCTAGATGGTAACCCTAAAACTTGCATAACATTTTTGTTCAGGAAGGAAGATCCACTCTGCAAGCAAGATCAAACACAAGTAGTGTTCTTGCTAATTGTATCTGTCGTTTGTCATGTATGTGTATCAAACATTTCTATTCAGGAGAATGGATTTCATAATTTCATATTGTTGCACCATAATTTTTTCAATTTTAAGGATTTCTTGCTTCTCTGGTGGATGCATACTCAGAAAAGGAGAGATCTGATTCCAGTGGCAAAGTTAGTCTCTGCACAGTTCTTCATTTGCATCCTCAGTTGGCCCCTATCAAAGTTGCTGTTCTTTCCCAATACCCTCAACATAATGAGCTCTGTGAAATAGCTCAGCAGTTGTCATCAGAGCTTCGAGAGGCGGGTGAGTTAAAAATTGTACCACAGTCGAACCTGTATTAAGCTGTCAGTTGTCAAAGTCCCGAATTTGTTTCCGCCTAGTCACCATAGTTTTTTCATCTCTTAAACAGTTACCTCTATTAAGCGGTCTTGGTCCCTTTTATCGTCCTCCACCTGAATCTGAAGTTAAACAAACAGTTTATTTCGGATTAGTTACGTCACAAATAGACGCGCAAAGAAGTTAATTTCCTAGTCGAGAATTTGTTTGACTTGCATTGCGACTGGATTTCGTAAAACCAAGAGTGAATTAATCTCCAGACAATCAGACTTCCCAAGGCGCGGAATAACTCTTGTGACCAAGTATCTATTGATTTTAATTCAACATCTGTGTAAGAAGGAAGAACATTTCTCGACCACTTACAAAGCGAATTGGAGCAAAGCCAATACGATCCCCGATAACTTTCGGGCCTGTTCCAACTCCAACTCGAAAAGTGCTCTATAAATGACATTGCTAAATAGGAGAATAGTAACCCAATGGTTTTTCTTCATTTAAAGGTATTACCACACAATGTTCCCTTCACTCCAATGCAGATGAGTGTTATGCATATCAGGATGAGATTGGGACCCCATACTGTATAACAATACTTGATACCATACTCGCAAATGGCGTTGTGGCGTTCAGAAGTAGAAACACCACTCTTCAGGAGTACGTACACATATCGGAGGCATTACTCACTGTTAAATCACACCTTGGATTGAATGAATAAATAAATAAATAGAACCATCACGCGTTACTGTGTCAATTTGCTTGACTTAGTCGTAATTAACTCTGTTGCCTTTTTTGAGGTTACCTCAATGTTCCTAAATTTAGCGGGTACTTGATATTCCTAAACTGTCATAAATCCCGGTGAACGTGGAATTCTTGAATGATAGAAATGTAGTATGGAAATGGACTTATTGTCGACAGAAGAAAAAATTAGAGGCGCCGATCTGCATGGCCTGTAAAGCCGAATTATACCGTAAAGCCTTGTAAGAAACAACGAACTGTTTGTTTGCGTTTACACGAACCGTTTAACTGTGGAGTTAAGAATTCTGAATATGATTTTCTTCACCAATGGTTAGGAGGTAGGGCTGACTTTCCCTTCAGAAGGATGGGTTGTCGGGCAGAGTGTGTAATTTCCGCATCGCTTACTTGTGTGGTTCGGTTTATTTTCCACAGACCCTTAATTTTTACGTAAATGGTTTGATAAAAGACTGGTTGTTTTTTCTTCTCGGATGGGTGTACTGTAGAAGGTTTTCCTGAAGAATGGGGGTCATTTTTGTGCAATCTTGCGCATGGGGAGGCATCCCATTTGGTCCCATTTGACACATAGACGTAACATTTATACGGCAATTATTTTTCCGATCGCAAAATCTCGCAAAGGCGCGCTCTAGAATAAACCCAGACGAAGCGGGGGTCACGCGCGATGGGGTAATGAAAATGCGTGCCTTTCTCGCGCTTGAATCACTTTCCTCGAAGGCGCCTCGATCCTCGAAAACACGAAAAACGATGGCTATTCTGCAGAAATGGTGGTCATTGATTTCTTGTCTGAGGCTGGTGTCTCAGTTTTTTCTTTCCCTTATTTTGTAGCTTTTCTTTAATAACTCGCGAGCGCGCGACGCATTCTTTAGCGAATTCAAGGTATATGCTGCA